AGATTCGTGCTGGCATTGTATGAGCATTCCGGGTGTTCCGCCTCTGCACCAACACTCAGCATGCCAGTCCTTTTTATTTTAATAATTCAAATGAATATACAGTAGTATCTCATAGTGGTTTTAATTGGTATTTACCCAGTAATAGTGAACATTGTTTTATGTGCTTATTTGTTATTTCTATTACTTTCTAAACTGCCTTGTCTTGATTTTAGTTTTCTCTGTCTTTTTTTTTCCTCCTTTGGGAGAGAGTGAGACACAGAGGAGAAAGGGTGGGGAGAGAGACATAGGTATTTTTGACAGGGTCTCTCCATGTTGTGATTCTCCTGCCTCGGCATCTCAATTAGCTAGACTTTTAGGTACCTGGTGTGTTCAGATTGACCTGGGAACCAAACCAGGGCCTCTGGCCTACCATACAGAGATGCTGCAGGCACGGTGGCTAGGCCTGCCCATATTATTTATTTTTTTAAAGATTTATTTAGAGGCCATCAGATGGCTTAGCGATTATGCTGCTGGACTCACACAGGCGGACCGCATTGGGAGTCCCAGACCTGACAGCTTGAAACTCAAGCCAAGTGTGTGTGCATGTGTGCCGAAGGATCCCAGGAGTATGGAGAAGGGATTGCAGCATGGCCATCCTCCAGGAGGTAATTTCTTACTTTCTTTTTTTGAATTTTTATTCTTTTATTTAAAATAACAACAAAACATGTAGCTAGTACAGAACCAATCACTGTGCACTCAGAATTTAAAAATATGGAACGCTTCATGAATTTATGTGTCATCCTTGCGCAAGGGCCATGCTAATCTTCTCCGTACCGTTCCAATTTTAGTATATGTGCTGCCGAAGTGAGCACTTTCTTACTTTCTTACTGTTTTGTCTCTCTCTCTCTTTCCTCAGGGAGTGCATGCACCCTAAGGCACAAATCTCTAAAAATAATAATAACAGTAATAAAAGACTTATTTAGTTTTATTTATTATTATTTTTTTAATTTTCCTATAGGACATGTGTGCTCACAAGAGAGAGACAGTGAGAAAACAAGCCACCAGATCCAGGACTTGAACTGCAGACAGCCATGTGGAAGTGCAGTGCTTTAACAACCACTCCATCTGCTGGTCCCCAATTCATCTTTCAATTGGGTTATTTGTCTTACTATTAAAGAAGTCTTTACATATACTAGGTATAAATCCTTCATTGGATATATATATTACAAATACTTTCTCCCATTCTGAGGCTTATATGTTCATATTTTTAGAGAGATTTTTGCAATAGGGCACATGCGGTCATTAGAGAAACAGAGACAGAAAGCGAGAAATCACGTGGGGGCGGGGGAGGGGAGATGATCATGCCGTAATCCCTTCTTTTAAATTAAATTTTCTTTATTCATTCATTTATTTTAATATGACCAGAGAGAGACACAGAGAGAGAGGGAAAGTGAGAAAGCAAGCCACCAGGTCTGGGACTCGAACTGTTGTCGGCCATGTAGGAGTGTCCAGTGCCTTAACCACTGCATCATCTGCTGGTCTCCATCCTCTTGGGATTTGGGGCATGCATGCACACATGTCCAGCATGAGTTTCAAGTTGCTGGGTCTGGGACTCAAACCATGGTCTGCCATGTGGGAGGCCAACGACATAAAAACTATACCATCTGCTGGTCCCATTATAACCAGTATTAACAATATTAGTAGTAATAAAAATATATATATATATCAAAACACCCGGCAATATTACTCATTCTACCTTGACTCTAACCTACATGCTAAACTTTACCTTCGCCTCTCTAAGTATTCATTGCCAACATTCTAGTCTTAGGATACATCCAATAAGCTTATGCCTAAAATAGTTAAGATGATTAAAATAACAATTTTAACCCATAGAATTCTAAAAATGAATTGCCAAGAGTAATTTGGCTGTTTTCACTTTGTGCCCTTAAATGGCTAAAGAATAATTATGCTAAAAGAAATTCCAGTAGAAAGTGAGGAGTAGACATAGAATAAAACAAGATAAGAGGATCTTTAATATGTGATGTGCTTTTAATATCTCAAAATTTCCAGCCTTTTTCCAGTATATCTCATCCTACTGTAGAGTGGGGAACACAAGAGAAATACCCTCTGTTAGGAACAGAATCTACTAAGAACGAAATAAAAACAGGAGCTGCATTTGCACAGCAAATCTGATTGTGGGGGGGAGGATGGTGAGGAGAAGCTGCGGTGGGGGCTGTGATGCATATTCATTAACTGAGCTGACAGTGGCTCAAAGAGCCTTCGAAACACAGGAGAAAGTATTCCACTAGAGGATTGCCAACTAATAAAACAGGCAGGATATGAAAGTGTGACTCATGTGACCTTGGCACCGGTGCCCATGAAGAGGACACACGACGCGCCCCAGCATACAGCCTGGCTCGGAGTGCTGAGTGACCTGCAGACCCACCATTTCCAGATGTCTACCTGGCTTCTAGCTCTGGACCATGTCACCTGACACGGCCACACCCACGGAGGAGAGGTGTTTCTCCTTAGCACAGAGAAACACTGTTCAGAAACCTGAACTTTACTAACACCTAACGCACCTAAGTTTGGGAAACACTCTGCTAGCGTTGCATGTTGGATAGCTCGCTCTTACACACCAGGTAAGGCTTCCGGTCTCTGTGGGCTTGTGCTAGTCTTGGTCTCCTTCATAGTGAGAGAAAGCCATTTTCTCTCATTTCTTTATTAGAGAACTGAGAGGGTGGGAGAGGGGTTGGTAGGGAATGATGAATACCAAATTTTTCAAGTTGGCTAGAATATGCAGTGGAGTAATTCTAGCCTACTGTCTTGCATGTTCTAAGTGAACTATCAGATAAAGAGCCACAAAATACTATTTTAGAAAATCCACACAGAATCTCTCTGAGATCCAGTGGTGACTCTTATTTAAAATGGGCTAGGTTGTGACTTGTAGTTCTCAGCTGTCAAGACAGCACAGGATTAAACTGATCGAGTGAAGCCCTACTCAGTGCTAAGCCCGTGCTGCAGACCTGGTTCTCTGCTGTGGGCCTTCTCCCTCTAACGACCTTTCTCCTTCTGTGATTTTTCATGCAGACCTTGCTCAGTACTTGTGTAGCTATTTCAGGGTCCGAAAGAAATGCTGCCATGTTATGTGCCAACTTTAAATGTACTTTTATCTTACTGCTTTTCTTTCCAGTCAGGTGTTGTAATAACAAACAGTAACAAAGGCTTTTTTTTTATTACTTAAGATATTCAGTGGCTTTTGTCTTCCTAGCGTCAGCAGTAACGTCAGAGGGTTGTATCCAAGGAGCTAAATGTGCAGGACCCAGGGTCAGCGCAGCTGAATACACCAACCTCAGAAAACACAGACAATGAATTGCAAATGACACTCAAAACAAAACGAGAAAAAAAACCTTCACACAGAAAACTACAAAAGAACTCTACAGACACTGAATTGGCTTTCTGTACACACTGATCCTGCTTAACTGTGTGTGGTAACTAACCAAACGCTTCAGATACTCATGGCCACAGAAAAAGGCTTTTTTTTTTTCCCTGTGGAGAGGGTAAGTATAAAAATAAAAATATTTCTTTCCTTCTACTCTAGTCTTTATTAAAAAAAAAAAAAGCTTCACTGAGTGGAGATAGACGCAGCTCTTTCTTTTTCAATCTACAAACACACTAAAGAGTGGCATTAGCGATGAAGTGATTAGTCTTCCGTTAATTCTGCTGAAGGTTCTACACAAAAGGTGTATTGTTTCAGCCGGGATTCACATCATGAAACAAAATGGTTTGGTAAACCCAATAGAAGTGATAGCCCTTTCATGACACACAGGGTTCAGTACTGTATATTTCAACTTGTTAGCAAGTCAGAGGCACAAGCGGGAAATCAGCCTCCACTGCTGCTGAGGATGAATGGGAGCGGCTAAATTGATGAGCTGCTGTTTAGATTTTCCCACTGGGAATTATTCTCAACTGTCCAGGCATTACATCATTCAGGTAAATGGTGGCAGGACAGCAGGCTTTTTATTTCTTCGTGGTGATATAAAAACTTGAAAAGAAATATATATGCTCTCTATCCATAATGAAGAAATACAAGTCCTTAACTGCCAGGCTATAGTTAGCTGCAGCTGGTTGCTGGTAACTAAGAAGCCAACTGTATTCCGGTTGTTAGCAAAAAAAGCGAGACACCCTACCCTCTACATTTTTAGTTTATTTATAAAGCCCATTGTATCAGACTTTAAATCAGAAGATGATACATCATATTGGGGTCCTTCAATATATAAAAGTAAAATGTATTTAAATGGTTTTAAAAACATTTCAAAACTCCTGATACGCATTTTATGTTTTGGTCTGGTTACTCTGTGTATCACCTTCAACTCCTCTCCAGTGCACCTCTATGCCCACCCACACTATGCCAGACAGCCACACCAAACTACGGGGACTTCTTCCTGCAGCACGCGTGTGCTCGTTTGCACCTATGAAAACACTGTCCTTCAAGATTCAGCTCAATTCTGCCCTTCAGAAACAGCCCACTCTAAGTGGCGTTCTTCCTGTAATGTCTTCAGATCTTGGCTATTGGTCTAGTGCTGCATTTATCACACTGGCTGGATTACTGCTTTACTGTTGATCTCAGCTACTAGACTGTGACCTCCTTGAGCACAGGCTCTGTCTCATCTTTATACTTTCAAGCTCTAGCCTCACGTCTTGTTTCTAGTTACATTTAGTGAAATCTTATGGAAGAACTGCTAAATTAATAGATGAGGGGAGAAAAAAAGAAAGCAGAAAGAACATGAAGGCAGGGGGGTGGTCTTCAGCAAGCTCATGGAAAATGCGTACTCAAAGACAAACTATGCATGGGTTTTAAGATGTTTTATACCAAAATAAATGTTTATTTCAAATCCATTGCTTTTCATGAGCCTTCGGACATTCCCTCATACCAACTCAGAAAGTGGTGATGTGAACACACTGTGCTCTGGGAGCTACGGTAGCGACTGCAAGGACACGGTGGGCTCACTGACTGCCCTCCATGCACTTACTAGGGACATCTGAACACACTGTGCTCTGGGAGCTACGGTAGCGACTGCAAGGACACGGTGGGCTCACTGACTGCCCTCCATGCACTTACTAGGGACATCTGAACACACTGTGCTCTGGGAGCTACGGTAGCGACTGCAAGGACACGGTGGGCTCACCGACTGCCCTCCATGCACTTACTAGGGACATCGGAACACACTGCACATCTTCATCTCTTATTTTTTCCCCACTCCTCCCATTACTTTTGAGTTTTTCCTGCTTTCTCTCCCATGTCTCCTAGCTAACAACTTACATTTTATTCAGCTCTGCTCTTTCTATTTACTCTTTCATAATTCTATGACATTCACTATAGTCACTTTGTTTGGTCAAGTAAACCAGTTCAGAGGGGTGTTCTTCCTTTTATTAAACTTAGGCAGGATAGGATACCTGCAAGCACTGCAGAGTTTCACAGACAGCCCTCTGAGCTGTACCCCTCGGGTGTTGCTAACACCTGATAGGTCCAAAGTGTACTACTAGTGAAGTGAGAATATAAAGAAAAAATATAAAGAAAAAATAATGATAATATATATATGAAATATAAATATATATAAATAAAAGAAGTCAAGTGAAAATAGAAAGAAAAAGGATGAGATAGAGAAAGAAAAAAGGTATTAAAAAAAAAAAAGGTACTTTTTTCCAAGTATTTAGAACCCAGTTCAAGTAGGACTCTTACCCATGGCTTGCTTCCCCATGGCGCACTGGTACGTGTTTCTTGGGGACTGGTTATGATGAGGGTATGGGATCAGGCCAGCACAAACACCAAGAAGAGTGAAGGGTTCAATCTCCAAGTGAGTGGTATCTCTATCAAGTTAATTAAGAAGTAGACATCTTAGGCATCAGTACTAAAATAAATGTCTCTTAAAGGCATAATAAGTAATAAAAATATTAGTTATGTCTCCAAGGGGTTTATAAAACTGGTAAAATAAAAGCATATTTTAGTAAAATACTATAAAACAGAAGAACTTATAATTTTTGGTAACAGAAATATTTATTACTGATAGAAATATAAGAGAAGGGAGATAGTATAGAATGCCTACATAACAATACAGCATTACAATACACAGTTACAAATAATGCATTTAAGAATGACCACACTGAACACAGAGGAAACAGTACTAACAATACAGCATTACAATACACAGCTACAAATAATGCATTTAAGAGTGACCACACTGAACACAGAGGAAACAGTACTAACAATACAGCATTACAATACACAGCTACAAATAATGCATTTAAGAGTGACCACACTGAACACAGAGGAAACAGTACTAACAATACAGCATTACAATACACAGCTACAAATAATGCATTTAAGAGTGACCACACTGAACACAGAGGAAACAGTACTAACAATACAGCATTACAATACACAGCTACAAATAATGCATTTAAGAGTGACCACACTGAACACAGAGGAAACAGCACTAACAATGCCCTGTCAGTGACTCGCCAGCCTTTCATCATTCTCCAGCTCCGTCCAGAAGAAAGCCACGCCACCGTTTTAGAGAACTAGACATGGCTTCCTTACGAAGTTACTATAGGGACCAGCAGGTAGCATAATGGCTATGTTGCTGAACTCCCATGCAGTTGACTATGGTTTGAGACCCAGATCTGGTGGTTTGAACTCATCCTGGGAGCGTGTGCCTGTGTGCCCAAGATCCTGAGAGGAAAATAGAGGAAAATCATCCCCCCCGGCGGGTGATTTCTCGGGCGAGTGCCCTATATCAAAAACCTCTCAAAAAACAAAAACAAAAACAAAAAAACCAGTTACTATATGGGGCCAGCAGGTGACATGATGGCTAAGGTGCTGGACACTCCCACATGGCTGACCACGGTTTGGGTCCTGAACTTGGTGGCTTGCTTTCTCACTTTCCCTCTCTCTTTCTCTATATCTCTCTCTGGTCAAATTAAAATAAATGAATGAGTAAATAAAACAAAAATAAATCATTCTTTAAAACAAAACAAACAAACAAACAAAAGAACAGTTACTATAGACCCACAGAGACCAATATTACAACTACTGGCTAACTGTGGCTACTAACCCTTTTAATGTTTGGCTAAGTGAGACTAAAGAAATGGATTTTTAATTTTACTTAATTATTTTAAATTTTAAACCCAAATGTAAGTTTTTTTAAAGAATATTTTGTTAAACTTCCTTCTTCCTTCCTTTATTTAATTTAATTTGACCAGATAGGGACAGAGTGAGAGAGAGAGAGGAAGTGAGAGAGCAAGCCGCCAGGTCTGGGACTCAAACCGCGGTCAGCCCTGTGGGAGTCCAGCTCCCTTAACCACCATGCCACCTGCTGGCCCCCATACTGTTTTCTATAATGACTATACTAATTTACATTCACACCAGCCGTGTAAAAGAATTCCCCATCACCACATCCTTGCCAGCATTTGTAATTTTTTGTTAAGAAGTCTGATTGAGGGGTCAGTAGGTGGCATGGTGGTTAAGGCTCTAGACTCCCACATGGTTGACCATGGTTCAAGTCCTGGACCTGGTGGCTTACTTTCTCAATCTTCCCCACTCCCTGTCTCTCTCTGTTCAATGAAAATAATAATGATGATTATGATAAGTAAAATTAAATATTCATTAAAAGTAAGTCTGATTGAGGTTTTATAATGAAAATTTTGCAACCAAATGGTGACACAGTATTTCAGATATACTGGGTTAAATATAAATAATATCCACATTAATTTCACCCATTTCTCTTTCCTCTTTTAATGGAGCTTGTAGAAAATCTGAAGTTATATAGTAGGCTTATATTACACTCTGTGACAGCTCTGCCATAGATATTGAACACAAGTAAGGTTTTATCTGGTAGGTGTCAGAATCTCAGCTACTACCACAATGCATTTCTAAAAACTCGGTTTTTGGCTAAATGATAAAGCAATGCTATTTCTTAATGTTTCACTGGGAAAAAACAGATAAATTAGTGCTAGGTCTTTGCTACAAGTAACATATCATATCCAGGATCTGTGGTCTGCCATTAACCTTCTATACCTCTTTAAAGTGTTTGCCAAGTGTGACCTTAATGAATATTAATACAACAGTTTACGGCACCCATAGAAGAAGGTGATATCCCAGACATCCAAGTGTTGCCAACTGTGGGGATCTAGCTGCAATGAACCTGGAACAAGATCCCCCCTTATCTAATTATCCTTCTGTTTTTCAGCACACATGTATTAAATTATGCCCCAGGTTTGGTGAGAGTGAGGTTCCACATAGCTCTTGGTTTGAAAAATACTGTTCTGACTTTATGATCTGACAGAATCCCTGTTCTCTTATACATGCTGGGTCTTTGTCAGCATGGAGAGCAAAGCTCTAGGTTTTGCTGTTGTTGTTTTTAAAAAGCATTAGTTTAAAGCTACATTTTCTAGTGTGTAATATAGCAGCTTATTTTAAATATACTGTTTTTTAAAAATATTGGCCAAGCTGACATTGCCCATGCAAAAAAACAAAACAAAACAAAACAAAACCAAAAAACACAACTACTTTTCAGATATGAAAAGTGGGTTAAGTTAAAAAATAAAGAAAAACACATGAAGTTTCAGTCTTTCCTTTATCACAACACGTTAAGAGCATAGAATTGAATAATTATTTAAAATCCCAGCACACAGATTTTGATTTTACAAAAAAGAAAACTTATTTCCTTTGAAATCATAACCACCATAAGTTTCTATCTTGAACAAGAATGAAGAGACTTCCTATTCAATGTGCATAAAGCACTTAAATACAGTCCAAATTAAAACTAAGTAACCTATTGTTTATAATAGTGGAAAATTTTTAAACAATCTAATTATTCATCAGTTGGGAACAGGTTAAATAAACTATATATGTGTAGGCAGATAATATAATAAATAGCAAACAAAACAATATATAGATGAATATATGTGTATATAACTATATATACACACTAATATGGAAAATGTATAGAATAGACTACTAAATTTAAAAGTAAGAACAATGAATATGCAGTATTTCTCTTTCAGTAAAAATACAGATTTTATTATTTGGTAAGAAGCACTAGCAAAATAAAGTAAGGAGGGGTAGACAAAATAAGGGTTCCTACTTTAAGAAGGAACCAGGAAGTCATGAGATGATGATCCCAGAGCAAAGACCCAGGGGGAGAGAACAGTGTTCCAGGCAGAGGGAATGGCCAATGCAAACGTGCTGGAGCACTTGAAAAAGAGGCCACAGGGGCTGAGAAACAGTGTGTGAGGAGAGGAAGGAGAGGTGGCCAGGGTAGAGCAAGGTTGTACACTGTAGGAACATGATGGCCTCTGCAAAGACTTCTGAAGGAGGTAGAGTGCCACTGGGGGATCTGAGAAGAGACGACATGAGTGCTCGGCTCTGTTAGGAAGAGACTATAGGGAAACAGTGCAAAAATAGTCAGGAGCCCTCCGCAAGAATCCAGGCAGCAGTGGGAATGGCCCAGGCTAGGAAGGGTGGAGAAAAGAGCCCAGCTTCCAGGCGTATTTTCAAGGCTCTTGCGACAAGCCAAAGGACTGACTGATGTGGAGGCAGAGGAGGAGTGGAGTAGAGGCTGAAACTTAGGGTTTTGGCTTGAGTATCAAAAAGAATGGAATTGTCATCTATTTGGTTTACTATGAAATAATTCTCTTTTACATTTAGTTACTCTTGAAGTGAGGGGTATAAAATAGTAATTTGAGATTTATACCTTTAAGGAATAAAAATTCTGAATAAACAGCATTATTTACTAAATTAAAATAAAAACAAGTAGCATAGTTCATCTGATGGCAGAAAACAAAAAAGTACTCATTCTTGATTGAAGGTATAAACAGTTATTGGATAATAGTAAACTCTCTATTTAACAATCTAACTGTAGGGACCAGCAGTTGGCATAATGGTTATGTTGCTGGACTCCCATGTAGTTGACCGTGGCTTGAGTCCCAGACCCGGTGGCTTAAACTCAACGCTGGGCACGTGTGCGTGTGTGCCCAAAATCCCAACAGGAGAATGGAGGAGAAGGGACTGCAGTATGGCCATCCCCCTGGAAGGTGAATCTTGCTTTCTGTCTCTCTGTCTCTTCCTGTCTTTCTGGCAAGTGCATGCACTCTATAGCAAAAACCTCTCCAAAAAACAAACAAACAAAAACAAAACAAAACAAAAACCAACCTAGTCCAGAATTCGAACCACAGGTAGCCATGTGGGAGTCCAGTGCCCTTAACCACCACACCACCTGCTGACTCCACAAATGTTTAAGTTTAAATAACAATTTGGTTATTGAAAGCCTTTTAGTTATGGAACAACCTCCATTTGTGAATCTACATTTTGACTGTTAAGAAGTCTGATTGAGGGGTCAGTAGGTGGCATGGTGGTTAAGGCTCTAGACTCCCACATGGTTGACCATGGTTCAAGTCCTGGACCTGGTGGCTTACTTTCTCAATCTTCCCCACTCCCTGTCTCTCTCTGTTCAATGAAAATAATAATGATGATTATGATAAGTAAAATTAAATATTCATTAAAAGTAAGTCTGATTGAGGTTTTATAATGAAAATTTTGCAACCAAATGGTGACACAGTATTTCAGATATACTGGGTTAAATATAAATAATATCCACATTAATTTCACCCATTTCTCTTTCCTCTTTTAATGGAGCTTGTAGAAAATCTGAAGTTATATAGTAGGCTTATATTACACTCTGTGACAGCTCTGCCATAGATATTGAACACAAGTAAGGTTTTATCTGGTAGGTGTCAGAATCTCAGCTACTACCACAATGCATTTCTAAAAACTCGGTTTTTGGCTAAATGATAAAGCAATGCTATTTCTTAATGTTTCACTGGGAAAAAACAGATAAATTAGTGCTAGGTCTTTGCTACAAGTAACATATCATATCCAGGATCTGTGGTCTGCCATTAACCTTCTATACCTCTTTAAAGTGTTTGCCAAGTGTGACCTTAATGAATATTAATACAACAGTTTACGGCACCCATAGAAGAAGGTGATATCCCAGACATCCAAGTGTTGCCAACTGTGGGGATCTAGCTGCAATGAACCTGGAACAAGATCCCCCCTTATCTAATTATCCTTCTGTTTTTCAGCACACATGTATTAAATTATGCCCCAGGTTTGGTGAGAGTGAGGTTCCACATAGCTCTTGGTTTGAAAAATACTGTTCTGACTTTATGATCTGACAGAATCCCTGTTCTCTTATACATGCTGGGTCTTTGTCAGCATGGAGAGCAAAGCTCTAGGTTTTGCTGTTGTTGTTTTTAAAAAGCATTAGTTTAAAGCTACATTTTCTAGTGTGTAATATAGCAGCTTATTTTAAATATACTGTTTTTTAAAAATATTGGCCAAGCTGACATTGCCCATGCAAAAAAACAAAACAAAACAAAACAAAACCAAAAAACACAACTACTTTTCAGATATGAAAAGTGGGTTAAGTTAAAAAATAAAGAAAAACACATGAAGTTTCAGTCTTTCCTTTATCACAACACGTTAAGAGCATAGAATTGAATAATTATTTAAAATCCCAGCACACAGATTTTGATTTTACAAAAAAGAAAACTTATTTCCTTTGAAATCATAACCACCATAAGTTTCTATCTTGAACAAGAATGAAGAGACTTCCTATTCAATGTGCATAAAGCACTTAAATACAGTCCAAATTAAAACTAAGTAACCTATTGTTTATAATAGTGGAAAATTTTTAAACAATCTAATTATTCATCAGTTGGGAACAGGTTAAATAAACTATATATGTGTAGGCAGATAATATAATAAATAGCAAACAAAACAATATATAGATGAATATATGTGTATATAACTATATATACACACTAATATGGAAAATGTATAGAATAGACTACTAAATTTAAAAGTAAGAACAATGAATATGCAGTATTTCTCTTTCAGTAAAAATACAGATTTTATTATTTGGTAAGAAGCACTAGCAAAATAAAGTAAGGAGGGGTAGACAAAATAAGGGTTCCTACTTTAAGAAGGAACCAGGAAGTCATGAGATGATGATCCCAGAGCAAAGACCCAGGGGGAGAGAACAGTGTTCCAGGCAGAGGGAATGGCCAATGCAAACGTGCTGGAGCACTTGAAAAAGAGGCCACAGGGGCTGAGAAACAGTGTGTGAGGAGAGGAAGGAGAGGTGGCCAGGGTAGAGCAAGGTTGTACACTGTAGGAACATGATGGCCTCTGCAAAGACTTCTGAAGGAGGTAGAGTGCCACTGGGGGATCTGAGAAGAGACGACATGAGTGCTCGGCTCTGTTAGGAAGAGACTATAGGGAAACAGTGCAAAAATAGTCAGGAGCCCTCCGCAAGAATCCAGGCAGCAGTGGGAATGGCCCAGGCTAGGAAGGGTGGAGAAAAGAGCCCAGCTTCCAGGCGTATTTTCAAGGCTCTTGCGACAAGCCAAAGGACTGACTGATGTGGAGGCAGAGGAGGAGTGGAGTAGAGGCTGAAACTTAGGGTTTTGGCTTGAGTATCAAAAAGAATGGAATTGTCATCTATTTGGTTTACTATGAAATAATTCTCTTTTACATTTAGTTACTCTTGAAGTGAGGGGTATAAAATAGTAATTTGAGATTTATACCTTTAAGGAATAAAAATTCTGAATAAACAGCATTATTTACTAAATTAAAATAAAAACAAGTAGCATAGTTCATCTGATGGCAGAAAACAAAAAAGTACTCATTCTTGATTGAAGGTATAAACAGTTATTGGATAATAGTAAACTCTCTATTTAACAATCTAACTGTAGGGACCAGCAGTTGGCATAATGGTTATGTTGCTGGACTCCCATGTAGTTGACCGTGGCTTGAGTCCCAGACCCGGTGGCTTAAACTCAACGCTGGGCACGTGTGCGTGTGTGCCCAAAATCCCAACAGGAGAATGGAGGAGAAGGGACTGCAGTATGGCCATCCCCCTGGAAGGTGAATCTTGCTTTCTGTCTCTCTGTCTCTTCCTGTCTTTCTGGCAAGTGCATGCACTCTATAGCAAAAACCTCTCCAAAAAACAAACAAACAAAAACAAAACAAAACAAAAACCAACCTAACTGCAAAAATTTCTATTTCAGGTAAGCAGTACATCAGTCACATGCAAGTTAAATAGATATCTTCTAATGTCTCCAATCAAACACATCTGCTTTAAAAATAACATGGTTCTAGAAGAAATACTGTGAACATAATTACCATCTCAAGTTTATACTGCACTAACAATCCTCTCTGTAAGCTATGACTACATTTTGACAGAGTTTCATTCTATTTTAGGGCAACTAAAATTTTTTTTTTTGCTATAAAGTGCATGCACCTACCAGAGAGAGAGAGAGAGAAAGTGAGAAAGCACTCCCCAGGGAGGTTGGCCACACCACAATCCCTTCCCCTCCAAGCTGCTGAGTCCAGGACTCTAACAGTTCCTGCCAAGAATATGATAGAAGAATTGACAGTGACAATGAAAAGAGAGGTAGTTTCTACAGTCAGAGCAGGTTTTAACTGTGACTGTCATGGGTCTTACTTACTTATTAATTGTATGTTCATAGAGTGCGATGTTACAGTCATTTTCTTCATTCACATCTAAATATTCAACCAGACTCTCATGTAAGAAATCTTCAAAATTTCTGTGAAAATATTGGTGAAAGAGACATTAAAAAGCATTTTACTTCAGCATAGTATATAATGACAGACAACACCAGCTTTTATTTAGGTCCAAAGTATTCTTCTCTCCCAGACAGTATCAATACAGATGGCACACCTGAGACCAGCTATTCTTAGATCACAGAGTAATCACAAACTGCTGAAATAAAAAAACTAAGACTCTTCCCAATCTGGTCCCTACTTGTAAACAATATCTGACTTTAGAAACTCCACAAGATAAGAGACCCTCGATGCCTATATCCACATACTGCTGGAAGTTCTGTTCTTACTAAAAACATTAATAGTGCACTAATTTATACCAAGACTCTGTAACACGCATGGTTTAAACTGGCAAATATTTTACAACGTCCATGCAAGCTCATAGGAAGATTCTGTTTTTAACAAACTAGTATCTTTGGTGGAGGGAAAATAAAAGAGTAAAAATAAAAATATTTTTTTCTTAAAAAGCATAGATCAACCAATATTGTGTCTAATTAAATCATGTATGTGCAGAATAAGCTGGCCGGCAAGTTCTATTCTGGGTCATTTACCTGTACCCCTGGGCCAGCTCTTCCATATGCTTATTCGTGACTGCTGGCTTCTGTTTTTTAACAATTATGTAGGGTCTGGAATGGGAAACAAACAAGAAAACCAAATCAACAGTAGTTCCACAGAAGAATTATGTCAGCAAATTAGTTTACCAGTTATAAGGGAAAACGCAGGAACAATAACAATTACTCCCAGACAGCTCGAGGGACTGAGCGTGAGTGTGCAGGGGGCCTGCTTTCTCTCGCTCACATGTAAGTACAGGGCTGTGCACACGTGCACATGCACACACACATAGCACTTCCTTAGGATGTATCTTAGGAAACACAAACACAGATAAAAAGGCAACACAAACAAGAAGTTGGGAAAGAAAACAAAACCTTTACTGTCATATTTTTAAACACTGTGGAAATGAATCATTTCAAAAACATCTCCTGATTTCACACTGGAAATCCTTGGTACACTACTCCTGGAGGCGACAGGCAAGAAGGCCGTCACTGAAGGCTGCCAGCATTTTGTTGTGAAGGTCAGATGAAGACCAGGATGTTGAGAGTGCTGTGATTTAGAGCTAGACTAGAAGGTTATTTAAAGCTATAAATGACCAAAAAGAGTGGCTATGATTTGTTAGAAGCTTTGTGACTTTTAGCGATGTAGTAAGTGTAAGGAAGAGAAAGCATTCTGGTAAATTAACCTGTAACTGTCAGTGGAGACTTGCCTCCGAGGGCTTCGCCACCACGAGGAAACACCAACACAAAGGATGGCATGCGGCCCCGAAACGTCAAGGGCTGTTGCTATTTGGACAAGCGGCTCTCACAGAGAGAAGCGAGTAACCACTAGACACTGTACGCTCTACCCTAAAGTCCAAATAACTATTTGAGGACTAATGAGCACTTTTAACAGTTAAGGAGAGGAGTTGCACAATTACAAAAGGGGAATACAAGTTGCTGAAAAATGAACTGGGTGAGCTTTTCATGGAAATCAACAGTACCTCGAAATTCTGGCTGCTGCTTCATGGGGAGGCCACGGCAGCACTGCTGCCTCGTTCGAAGGCTCAGAAGTCACACCAGAAATAGCAGAAGGGCAGGGGATCACATTCAGCTACCTTGGTTACCCTCAACTTTACTTGGTAAAATTCTAAGTCTTCCTGCCAGATCTGCGATGCCATTATAAAGCTGCTTCTAAAATACTGTTCTTTCAGAACATGCCATATTATACTGATATAATGAAAGAGAGAAACTCTAAAACAGAGTAACCTAGAGAGGGTCATTGCTTTTCCTGCTCCTCACTGGAACATGTTACAACAGCTGTAAATAATAAGTAATGTGTGGCTGGCTCCTTTAAAAGACTTACCACGCCTCCCACAACTTAGTTCTCAGGAGAAACCCAGGTAGGCATTATCACTTACATCGACGGTCAAGGAAACTAAGGCTCAGAAGTTTAAGAAATATACTCAGAGTCACATAACTCAGAAAGTAGGAAGTTAAGATCTGAATATAGGTATTAGGGGCTTCAAAAGGTTCATGGTGAATGGAATTAAGGTATGAGTGAATTTTGTTGAAAATTTTGTGAAATCCAGGTTTCATAATACACATTTTTTTAAATAAACTTTTTGAAGCTTCCGCCTATCATCAGTTAACCATTCATTGGTTGCAAAGAAGATAAACTATTCTAGTTAATCTAGGCAAAAAATGGAATTATTGGAAGCACTAAGAACTTACTGGAAGGACAAGAATCAAAGAAAAAGGTGAAGTGCTCAACCTCAGAAGATAAACTAGAGCAGTCCCAAAGATGCAGAAAGCGAGGCATAATGGGCAGCCTCTTGCAATAGACACCACTATTGCAATAAAGCAGGTCCAACCACTTTCCCCTCGCTGTACTGTACTGGGGATTCAATTCTCTGGAGAGAGGATCTGACTAGCTTCACCTGGATCAAATGCCTGACCTGTGGCTGAGAAGCAGAGTGTGGTGGACTGACTATCCTAGGCCTATCAGAGTGGAGGGGCAGTGACCACCCTGCACAATGAGGTGGACTCATTGGAAGAAGAAAAGGACGCCAGGCGGACATGAATGGTGGTGGCCCACTCTCCCAGCCCTGAAAGACCTCCAATACGGCTAGCTTACTGCCTGTGCCGACGCTACCCGAGGTCTACAAAGGGTGGCCACGGCAGAACAAGTGAAGGCTTATAAAACAGCAAGACCCTGCAGGACAGAGAGGATCCCATGTTTATCTTTGTACCTCCAGCTTGTGGACAGCACCAGGATGTAATCAGCCCTTAATAAATATTTGCTGAATGAGTGAAAGGAAGCTACTTTTCTAATGTTATTTAATTCCTTCACGTCTCCATGCTTCTGTCTGGCTTTTCCTCATCTCTCTGCTTTCCCCTCCACATCCAAGCAACACAGTCCTACCAAGCCTTCAAAGCTCACTTTGTTGCAATAGAACATAATGGGTAAAATCATGATGGTTGGAGTCAAATGAATCCTAAGGACTTGGAATGAAAAAACAGACTCTACCGCTCTCCAGCTTCGGGTAAGTTATTTAGCCTCGCTGAACCCCAGCTTCCTCATTTGTAAAGTGAAAATAATAATTCAACCTCACAGGATTGAAAATAGTTTAATCCTTACACACACACTACATGTATTAAAATAGTAGTAAATACTAACATAGTTGACTGTTATCAGTGATTATTTTCTGCCTCTCTCAGCACAATGAGATCTCTGGGGACAGAGATTATCTGCCATTAATCTTTGACTCCTCAGTACCTGGTGTGCATATACTGAATTAAATCTGTCTTAACAATGAAAGAGGTTAACGCAGCTTTGAAAATAAAAACAAGTATATTTCTTTCAAAAGTAAAAACAGAGAGATTCTTGAAAACTCTTCTGGCAATATGTATACCTGCACAGCCTTCCTCCATCGGAGGAAATATAGACACATCGATCCGTAAGATTTGTTGAGATGGAAACAAATTCATTAATGTAGCCTGCTCTTCGCATCAGTCGAAATGTATTCACTAGCTTTTTATGGTCTCGAATGACACCAAGGATGTTACCTAAGCAAAAAGGAGTAAGAATAGGTAAGATGGAAATAACAAATAAATCCAATCTGATTTAAAATATCTACCCAATCAAAATAGTAAGCAGCACTGACATCTGCAGCCAAGGACTGCCTGGACAGAACACAGTAGAGGATCAGGGTGGTCTGAGGGACCTGGGCCCAGGCCCAGACCTGCCCCATGCTGGCTGAGTTATACTGGGGAAGTTAGCTTTATTCTCCTCATCTCTCACCACAGTACTGACAGCAGGAACTTCAGGTCAGGGCTACCTGGGTATGAACAACACTGGCTCTACCATTCTTCCATTCCCGTGGTGGCTGTGAAGATGAAATGGCTTTATCAATGAAAAACACGGAGAACTCTGCCCAGCACCTAGTAACTACTATTAGTAAATGGCGCCTGTTGGGACCATCACCATGAAATGAGGAAAGAGAACTTTGCCTTCCAAAGCTAGTATGAGGATTCAGAGAGATCCTGTGTAAAAGTGGAGACTAAGGCCTCACTCCACGGTAGTTCACGGGATACACTGAGGCATCAGCCCTGCAAGGTCTGATCCTCCTTCCCAAGCCCATAGAGAAAAGCATTAATCCTAGGGTGGAAGGAAGGGGAAGAGGGGAAGAGAAGAGATCTGAACTAAGCGGTCAGGGATGAGCACATGGGACAGGCACATAGACCACCAAATCCCAAGTAGAAAGGGTGGGGGCACACTTGTTGAGCCTATGGAGGGTTCTGAATGAAGTGGCAAGAGGTATGTGAAAGAAGCAACCGGAGTGTGAGCCAGACAGACAGATCCTTTCGCCACAGGCTGCTCACAGGCTGCTTATCAGGGGGCTGAAGATAAGTCAACTCCCTGTGAGGGCTGATCTGATTAGTTTTGCAGAATGACTCGGATATCTAACTTGTACTTAAAGATATCACATTGCATCTTATTCCACTGAGAGTTTTCTAGCAGCTGCAAAAGGGTAGAAAGCAGTTTCAGGACCCTCAGGTGGCATGGTAGTTAAAGGCACTGGACTAACACATGGCTAACTGAGGTTCAAGTCCTGAACCTGGTGGCTTGCTCTCTCTCTCTTTCTCTGGTCAAAATTGAAAAAGAATGATAATAAATGAATAATTCTTAAAAAAAAAAAAGTTTCTACAATGTTACCCTGTAGTTCTGATGGCTATATCTTCTCAGAAGCTTAAAAACCCAGCCAATCAAATTGCTGTTTAGTTATAATTTTTCTACCTTTAATTTTTTTTTTTCTGAGAGATTTTTGCTATAGAACATGTGCGCTCACTGGAGAGATAGAGAGATAGAGAGCAAAAAATTATCCCCAAGGGGAATGGCCACACCGCAATCCCTTCTCCTTCATTCTCCTCTTGGGATTTTGGTCACACCCACGTATGCACCCAGTGTGAGTTTTAGGCCGCCAGGTCTGAGACGCAAACTGTGGTCGACTACATGGCAGTCCAGAGACATCATAATTATATCATCCGCTGGTCCCTCTACCTTTAAATGAAGGTCAACCTGAGTCCAGAATTAAAGTATACCTATGTTTTAAATGGCAGGATAATAATGGATTCCCTACCCCCTTCCAATAGGTTGTTTAGGATCAACATGTCTCTACAGTCTACCCACCATTGAGGAAGACGAGAAACACATTTGGGTAAGACAGTTCTTCTCCACACAGTAAGTTCACATCTTCTACTCCCAGGTTACTGGCTAATTTAACAATTGGTCCATCTTCCATGTCAGTTGTGATATGTGTCATAAGGGCCAAGTTTTTAACCAAACCACATGCCTAAAGAACAAAAGGTCATGATTTCTAAAAGTGAACATTCGTGACACAGAGTACAAAACAGCTCGCTGCTTTGCTGGCCCAAGATAAAGTACTTCGACCTTGTAGAGATCACTTTAGTGATTCACACAGAAGCCTTTAAAATGTACATACCCTTTAACTCAGAGAAACTTATCCTACGGTAAAAAGCAAGAACATAAAATACATTTACCACAGAAAGGCCTAGCACAATACTATTTGTAATTATAAATGATGATGACACCAGAAATGTCCAACAAAAAGAAACTGATTACAAACAGTAATTATTCCCAGAAAACAGAACAACATAGCCATTATGAGGACATTATATAAAAACTGTAAAGGAAAAACTGGTCATTGTGGCTACATCAAATTCTGAAACTTCTGGTCTGAAATGAGAGACATTCTACACAATAACTGGCAGTTCCTGAAAGTTCCTTGGTCATGAAAAGCAAGACAAGACTGGAGACGTCTGCACTTTGGCGCAGAAACGGAGTGGAAGGCACAACAGCGAGGAAAGCCAGCATAGGCATCAGAGATTGTCTAGGAAGGGGTGAGGAGTGGGAGGGGAGGGCTCAAGGCAAAGAAAGCGCACGCATGCTGGGAAAAACCATGTCACAAGCTATAAAGGTGTACAGATTAAATATAAAAACAAAGACTAAAGAACTGTTCTAGATTAAGAGAGCCTAAAGAGACCTGACTACTTAAAACAATGCGTGATCTTGGATCCAAAAAAAGGACATTAGTGAGACAACTGGACAAATTTCAATAAGGTCTATATATAGTCTTGTTATCAATGTTAATTTCATAAGGTTGATAACTGCTATAGTTATATAAGATATTTTCATTTGGGAAATCTAGGTGAAGAAAGATGGAAAATCTTTGCGCCACTTTTGAAACTTTCTCATATGTCTGAAATTATTTCAAAATGAAAAGGAAGCATTTTAAAACTTCTATACAACAAAAAATTTTAAAAATATTAACAGCAGAGACCAGTAGTTAGTGTAATGGCTATGTCGCTGAACTCCCATGTAGTCGACCATGGTTCGAGTCCCGGACCTGGTGGCTTAAACTCATGCCAGGCGCGTGTGCGTGCATGCCCAAGATCCTGAGAGGAGAATGGAGGAGAAGGGATTGCGGCGTGGTCATCCCCCCGGGGGGTGATTTCTCGCTTTCTGTCTCTCTGTCTCTCTCTGTCTCTCCGTCTCTCTCTGTCTCTCTGTCTCTCTCTGTCTGTCTGGCGAGCGCACACGCGTCCTATAGCAAACCCTCTCCAGTGTATATATATATATATAGACAAGCACAAAATAAAGCAAATAGAAAAACTTGAAACACACATGAAATAAATAAAAGTTAGCTGAAGCAATCTGAGAAATTTAAGATGCGTAAATCATGGAAATTGGACAAGCTGCATGATTTTGGTGTGAATTTTCACACAGTTTAATTAGAAAATTTTCTAAGAATCACAGTGGCATGGCCTCTTATTTTTTACCTCTTCCAAGTTGGAAAAACTTCCTATACTTTGGAACCTACATCATTTACCTGTCATAAATTAATTTACTCTTTTTGCATATATTTATGGGGTCTCCACTCTAGGCGAGGCTGTATGCTAGGAACTTGAGGTGATAGTAAACCTCTCCTTCAGTTTCTGACTTAGAAGGAACAGAATAAAGTGAAACCAACAATGCTAACACAAAGGAGAAAAGGCCATGATGCAGGGAATAGTGAGTTCTATAGAGGTAATCTATTTAAACTCCTTGATCTAGCATTTAGGTAACTGCTGGTATTTCCTATGGAAGTGAGTCAGAATCCCCTTCAGGCTGTTGACTATAACAGAGTCTATGATGTCCTCTAAGTGCACCTGTGGAAAAAAGGAGCTCCTCAAAAAGAGCACCTCACAAACATCAAAGGTGCTCGATCTTTCAATTTACCTTCACGTTCTTATTCCCTCTTCACCGCATGGTTTGACTCTCAAGATAAACTGAAATAAGCACGAGAAATGTGGGGATTTGTGGACCATGTTTCTATTTAAGGAAAGTACTGAATGAGACATTTCTGTAGGTAGTTTTGGAACGACAAGGATGTAACATCATCAAGCTGTAATCATAATCATTAAGCTGTATCAATACTTCTCTGCAGATAAGTGGCTAATTAAAAAAAAAGAAATGACCTAAGAGATGAGAGCAGAAGCAGCCCTCCCACCTAGCCCCTTACGACTTAAACCTATACAGAGGTTCCTTAGGGACCTTACCTCTCCTTCAGGAGTGTCTGACGGACAGAGCATTCCCCACTGCGATGGCTGGAGGGAGCGTGGACCACTCACTTTTCTTGTTTTTTCAAACTGGGAGGAGATTCTCGTCATCATTCCCAGTGCAGAAATATATGACAAGCGAGACAGCACTTGGGTCACACCCTGGCGGTCCATTTTAAATCTCTTCAGAGACCAATTTCCCTGCAGAGAGATGAAAGGCATAGGGTTACCCTGACTCATTCAAAGGTTGCCTGATACACTGAGTTCAGCACAGGAACTGTTTGTTTACAAAATGAAGAGCCATGATACATATTCAGAAACTAAAACATCACAAAGTCATAATTTAGCCAGGTCAGCTGCTGGGGTTTTCTAGGAATACAATGAATATTATCTGTGCCTAGCCATCTCACAACACTTCAATGCATCAACCTGATCACATCAGAGTGGTCATTTTCTAAGGAAATATTCAGATATTGAAGAAGTCATTTCAACCAAGTATTTCCACTGGAAGCAATAAGCTAATAAAACACTAGCAATTTCTACACATTTAAGGTAAAACTAGATTGAAGCTCAAAGGGATAATTTATGTTAAAATGTGCCATTATTTAGATTTCTTCCCAATTAAGTCTTAATCAGAGAAAATAATCAGCAACAGAAATATTACTCTGATAACAGTTATTAGGGATAATGAATAAACTGTTGGCTTTCTAATCAAGACTTGAGGAATCTGAAAATTACACATACATTCATTTGAATAAATATCATATATACTCTCTATGACTATCATATTAATATGGGTTTGTATGAAATAAATCTTGAACATTTACTTTATCTCCCAAGTACTACATACATTGATTTATATTATGCATTATTTTATAGTTGTATCCATTATATATATATATATATATTAGATAATATTCTCAAGGATATTTTAAAGATTAAGGTTAGAAACTCTTAAAATTTACATTCACAGTCAGGTAAATTAACAGCAGAAAAGAGTATGCACTAAAAAAAACAAAGTAGAGAATAAAATGTCCCCAAAAAGCTGATTCAATTATCATTTTTCTAAGATTAAAACAATTTTATAAGAATTACTTAATTTTATTATTTTTTTAAAATTTGACCAGAGAGAGTGGGAAATTGGGAAAGCAAGCTGCCAGGTCTAGGACTAAAACTGCGCTTGGCTACGTGGGAGTCCAGTACCCAATCACCATGTCACCTACTGGTCCCATTTTATTTGTAATTTTTTCTCTTTATTGCCAGCGGATACATGCGCTCATCAGAAACAGAGCTAGTGAGAAAGGAGGGTGGTGGGGGAGAAAGCATCCCGCATGTGGTATGGTCGTGCTGCAATCCCTTTTCCTTCACTGCTCCTCCCCATCAGGATTTTGGGCACCATGCACACATGCCCAGTGTGTTTTCAAGCTGCTGGTGTCAGGATTGAAAGTGCAGTTTGCCTTGTGATATGTGACTCTCTTAACCACTACTACCAGGAGGCCAGCCTGACTCCACCATCTTTTTAATTCCACAGAGAAAAACTGCATCTGCAGTGATTCTTCATGTCTCCTCTGAGAACTTATGAGGTATGAATGCACTCTTGAGAAAAATGCACATAGGATCACAAACACAAAGTTTTCCATTGAGTTTCAGAGGAGGGGGCGCTTCCAGGTTAAAAACCAGAGCAGTAGAAACATTGCTAGGGTTTCATAAGGAGATTAAGTGGCCTGCCTGCATTTAAATATGCGACTTTAGGGGAGTGCCCTGACATATTAAAGTTTGATCATTACTACTTTGAAGATCTACCACTTTAGAACTTTGAGTTTTTGACAACGTGGAAAAGAGCTAAATTCTAGGAAGAAACCTGATCCGTTACAAAGTAAAGAAACAAAGCAAACACCTCTATCCTACAAATTAACTTCTTATATTGCTTATTCAGTTGACCCCTTTTATCCTTGGAATGAGAATGAATCTAAACTGCCTTCTGTCCAAAGGGTAAGAGCAAATAAGGTAAATAAATATTCGGCCCAGAGCTAAAAGGAGGCAGCAGCTGTTGACAGATAGGAAGTAGGTGGGGACTGAAGCCAAGATGTTCAGCAAGAAAATCTGTTCTAGTGTCTGCAGAAGCATCACACGAGAGAGACGGACGGGCTAACACGGCTCCTCTGAGAACGGTGACCGGATTCAACTACTTGCATTCTACTCACAGAACCTTTCAAGGGCTGGCCTTTTGGTGGTGCACAGAGTGGCGCACACCTGTGACAAGGCCCACGACTGCTTTTTCTAATACACAGTCCTCTTAGGGAGGGAAGACAAAGCCTTTGTGGGCAAAAGCACTGCTCAGAGAAGCTATGGTGACCCAAATATTATGAATCAGGAAGGAAAAGAAATTGCGACAGAAATGTGTTTAATTACTCTTTGAATGGTTCTCTGCATATTCAGGTGTCTACCTTCATATGAATTTGAGCCACAGAGTTTATGTGCCTATGTAGACACAAAGGCCTGGTTTACCTCAAATTTAGATGTAGCTGTCACTGCAAGGGCTATTCACGTAGACCCAGCACAGATTTCTAAAGCCAAGTATTAAAGCGAGCCTGTACTAACTCTTTCATTGTTAAGGGAATCAATGCTTTAAACTATATTATGCTTTTGTAGGGGCAAAATCCCATCCATAAAACTAATTTTATGTCCAGCATACAAAACATAAACCAGACCTCATCAGATAGAACTACAGTAGTTGTGCTTTAAGAAAGGGAGCAAAAGCCTATCTGATAACCCTGGATGAATAGGCCGAGGCCCTGGGTACACAGCAGCTGCCGAGGACTGAATTCATTGCTCACATTCACATGAGGAACAGCTGATAGGCCTTTGAAGAATATAAACCTATTGTGAAATGAAACATTTTGCATTGTTTTAGATAAAAGTTGCCAATTAATAAACCTGCTTGCAACATGTTAGTTTTATTACAGGGGGAAAAAAATGTGGAAAAGTAGTCATTAAAGCAGGTGTTATTAATAGTTAAACTAAACGATATTTCCTCTATGTAAGAACACTTCTTTTCTTATTGCCTCAGAAACCAGGAACTATCATTTGGAAATAAAGTTACCATAACAAAATCCTTACTGATAACACTTAAACCACAGACTATCTTTCAAAGCAGAAAACAGGATTTGTAAGCATTCCTTTAAAACACACACAACATCCACATGTGTGCACACACACATGGTCCCCAACTTACGATGGTTCAACTTACAATTTTTGAACTTTATGATGGCATGAGAACAACACATATTCAGTAGAAACCACAGAATTTTCTTCTTTCCCAAGGTCAGTGAGAGGTCACAGAACATGCTCTCGGGATGCTGGGCAGAGGCAGTGAGCCACAGGTCCCAGTCAGCCATGCGATGAAGAGAGTAACTGATATTCTACAGCTGATGTGTTGCCAGCATCTTTTGGATACCGTTTTTGCATCCATGTTTACAAAATGCCTATTTTCAACTTAAGGTGGGTCTATCAAGCTATAATCTCATCGTAAGATGAAGACTGCCTGTCTAGTGATCCACCGAATAGGTTTAAAGTAAACTGTAAAAAGAATGACTGAAGACTTACAGTAGAAATGGCATTCACCATGCCATTGGTGATCTGGTCTTGGCGCATGTGTTTCACAACGTCAAACTGGGCTGCCCTTTGCTTAGGAATTACCTGGTCGGCAATCTTCTTCATCTCAGAATTAAATTTTTTGAATAAATCTTCAAAAAGAAGAGATAAAAGCTAAAAAAAAAAAAAAAAGGAAAAGAAAATGATATGTTGATTTTTCAAAAAGCATTACAACACATGCTATAGTTTTTCTCTATACATACATGCCCATAAGAAAACTAACTTATAGGGACCAGCAGATGCTATAATGGCTACGTTGCTGGACTTCCATGTAGTTGACCACAGTTTGAGTCCCAGACCTGGTGGCTTAAACTCACGCCAGGCGTGTGTGCGTGCGTGCCCAAGATCCTGAGAGAATGGAGGAGAAAGGACTGCAGTGTGGCCATCCCCTCCTGGGGGGGGTGACTTCTCACTTTCTGTCTCTCTCTCTCTGT